CTAAATATCAAGACAAGACGCACTGAAATGACCCGCAAAAATCTATAAACAACGTGGTTTCGAACGAATTCTATCGCTCAAAGCTGAGTTATTTGACTAGTCAATATAAAAAAGCGACTTGATAACAACCAGCGGCGACGTTTTATATTTATCCTTTGCTCGAAGCTCAAAATAAAACACAATAAATTTTATTAATCATTTCGGAAATGTTTGTGAGATACGTACCTTTTGAGCATGGGACATTAGTTACCAAATCATTATTTCAAGCAGCACTCGTAACAGTTATAAAGTTAGTTACTATAGCTATCTATTTCACTTTCATCCTATAATCAACTCTTTTTGTCCTTTCAATAAACTCGATTTCCATGAAGCCTACATTTAACACAAGCTCTAGCCCTTCCCGACATCTTTCCTCTGGGTTTAACAAAGAACTAAACCAGCAGCTCTTTATTTCTTTCCTTAATTGTGGGTGGGACATTTTTTAACAAATTCCTCCTTCTTCATTAGGTAGCTTTTAATAACGTTGTTTGGCTTCCAAGTCTCTTGTGTATTACCTTTTGTTGTTAAGAATTGTTTTGGTTCAGTGATATCTACTATTTCATACAAATAGTCAGTAAATAAAAACTAATAGTTACTACTTCTTTGATTTTGTTTCACGGTGCAAGTGTGATGACTCTAGTAGTAGTTAGAAAAAGCTAGAAGTAACTAGAATCAAGGTAAGAGTAACTGGAAATAAGATAGAAGTAACTAGAATCAAGGTAAGAGTAACTGGAAATAAGATAGAAGTAACTAGAAACAAGGTGGAAGTAACTGGAAATAAGATAGAATACAAGGTAGGAGTACTTCCTCTGGTATCCAGTTATTGCACGTGGTACAAATTACAATCAGGGATTGGCTAGATACCTCATGAATAATTAATGAGTATGAGAAAACTAAGTCGTCATTTACATTTCATTGGATAGAAATACCCTTGATTAACGCACAAGCTTATGGGGATTTACTTCACCGGGGCTCGCGATCATTTAACCATGAAAAACGCATCGCACGGCAAAAAGAACCACAAATCCACATTCAGAAAGCATTAAAGTTTATTTCTGAACTAAAAAAACAGAATATAACCCCCCAAAATAGCCAAAATAACGATGTTGAAAATGGCCTAAATTTGAAGAGATTTCAACGGCTTTCGGCCGATAATCGCCATAGGAGGCCTGGAGCCGCGTCCAGCAAATTCAATTTTTGCGTGACTCTATACTTGTCATTGAACCTCGTTCCCGGGGCTTGGCCTTTATTTGAGCGCGCAAAACACATGATTTTTAGTAACAATTTAGTAGTTTTGTCTAATTAGTTTTTAGTTAAGTGAATTTGTSAATTCATTTTTTTTACCAAAGCATTTATGGTCATTTATATTTCCGTTAATCGTTTTTGTTTGTTTGTTGTTTTTTGTCAAAAATTGCAGGGGTGCAATCTCATGTCATAGTTAGTAATTATCCTCAAATACACTCAATTTTCTGCATTATTGCCATGAATTGCTTTGCTCTGTACATTTTTGATCTTTAAATTACTGCTTCTCAAACTTGGTAATTCTTTTTTTATTTAATGTCGATCTTTTGAGTTGTGGTAATGTTCACTTGCTTGCAYTTGAATTSCGGGGTTTTAATAAAAATATAGGACATAAATTCAAAATTTTAGAAAATGTATATAAGATATTTCGAAGACAAATTTTATTGAAATCTTGTAATCATTYTTTTTTATTAGACTTGTTCCACATCCCAGACTTACTGTGATAATAATGAGCAAGACCCTTAACTTTTTTACGATAACCTTCAAAACCTGCCATCAAAATTCTATCATGCATTTCAATGTCTTCTCCTCCCCATTTATGCTTGAATTCCTCCACATTCATTCCTCCAAATTTATCCCAGTCTTCTTTGTAAATGCCCACTAAACCATAACCATGGAATTCCCAATAGGATCCCATGTCTACTGCAGTATTTGTTCCACA